GATTCGGGGTATCAACTCTTCCCACTGTAAGGTATGCCTGGATTCAGAGTTCTTCACATGGATATCAAGCACTGGTTAGTTGTCTCTGGTCACTTGTGGGATGGCTGGATCCCATGTATTCTCCACAGAGGCGGTGGAGTGCGGGATCCTAGAGCTAGCTGGTCACCTGTTACCTTTGACCTTTCAGGTCTCTGCTTGGAGCGAGTTCTCCCAAGAAAAAAGGGAGGCACAGTCCTGCTGCTCCTTGTGTGTTTCTCTGTGTGACCCTGGCTGTCCTGGAACTCCACCCTAAACCAGGCTCCAACTCAAGGATCCTGAGTCTGCCTCCCCTGTGCTGGGATTAAAGGTGTGCACCAGCACTGCCCCGCAGAGCTTCCTTGTTAATATCGGGCAGACAGGATGAATGTCTTCACCACTCAACAAGGAGCATAGGAAGTGCCAAGGAGCCTGTCACCCCAAGACTTTGGGAGATTAAGGGGAGAAGAATTCCAGTCCTGGGGATGGCCAGGGGCCTCAGAGTTCAGAGCACTTGGTGCTCCTGCCAAGGGTGCAAGCTGCTTCCAAGCACTCGCCTGTAGCCTAAGGTCCAAGGGGCCCGGCACCCGCTCCTGGCCTCGGAGGGCTCCCGCCCCTGGCCTGGGAGGGCTCCCGCCCCTGGCCTGGGAGGGCTCCTGCACGCGTGTGTTGTGCATAAACTCACAGAGGCGCATATCCGTAATCAAGTCAGTCTTTAAAAGAGCCCCCGTCTACCCCAGGTTACATAGTGAGCCCGGTCTCCTTTTTTTTGTTGTTTTTTTTTTTTTAGGTTTTTCGAGACAGGGTTTCTCTGTGTAGCCCGGGCTGTCCTGGAACTCACTCTGTAGACCAGGCTGGCCTCGAACTCAGACATCCGCCTGCCTCTGCCTCCCAAGTGCTGGGATTAAACGCGTGCGCCACCACTGCCCGGCAGTGAAACCCTGTCTTAAGCATCTCATGATTTGAAATGTGCCTGGGGGTGTGGGGCGATGATGACAGGGTGCTGTCCTCAGACTTGGTGCCGAGGCCTCCCCCAGCACCTGCCAGCTCACTGGCCTCAGTCTGGGAAAACGGCAGCCCTGAGGCCAGGAAGGCACTTGCCACCTTACTTTGAGTATGAAGGATGGTATGGGGCAGGTCCTACCATGTGTGCTGTCTTTACATGTATTCATTTGTGTGCCACGGCACACGTGTCAATCAGTTCTTCACCGTGTGGATTGTGGGAACTGAACTCAGGGCTCAGGCCTGGCAGCAGGCAGCTTCACCCACTGACCGTTTGCAGCCCGGCTGGAAGGAAGTGGACGTCGGCTGAACTGCCTATCACAAGACAGGCAGTGTCTCTCTGGCCTCTTCTCTGCCGCTTGGTGTGGGCTTCAGTGGGAAACGTGACAGCTGTTCACATCCTGGCCCTTGGTCTGATGAGATGCTCAGTGGCTCGGGCAGTGACCCTCTGACTGGGGCTGGCTTTGCTTGTCAGGCAGCGCCGGGAGACTCCATCACTGACTGTCTTCACTCTCTTCCAGGGGCTCCACGGGCCTTACCCCTTCGGCCAGTCTTAAACGGGTGTCAGCAAGAAGAAAGACTAACAAAAGACAGAAGGCCTGACTTTGGGGGGAGAGGGCAAGGGGTTCCTCTGGATTACGGACCCCTGGCTCAGACCCCCACCTACCCCCCAATCACGGAAGAAGAGGAAGAAAGAGACTAGTTTTGAGTGAACTCAGTATGCATGTGTGAATGCTGAACTGCAGGCGTGGTGTAGAGGCGGCCGAGAAGAGACCCACGCAGCCACCTTGGGTTTGGGTGATGACGTCAGTCTAATGAGTTAGGTCACTTGGGAAGGGGAAGAGATTTAAATGGGGAAAAATAAGCCATCTTTTTAAACAAAATTTATTTTACCTACAGAGAGGTTGTAGTTTTGAGCACACGTTAGTTCCTCCCTCTTCCCAGTGTTTATCTTGTAAGTAAGGGTCAGCATGCTGCAGGACAGTGCCTGCTCTGGAAGCCTGTCACACTAAGGCTAGCCTGGCATGTTCAGCGACTCTGCCAGTCAGGGTTGCTGGGCACATGTTGTGTACCACCGACTGCAGAGTCTGACCCCGTTTGTTCTTAGTGGCATCTGCCAATGAGATGTCACCTTCCTCCTCTCTTTTCTTTACTCTCTTGTTAATTTACCCCTTTGATATTAGTGTCTGTCACCCTTGGGGCTTCTTAGTGTCAGAACCTCTCTGAGGTAAGGACTTTCTTGTGTGGCCACAGAAGCCGGAGAGGGGAGGGCACTCCATTCCAGAGATGTCCTTTTCACAGACTTGAAACTGCTGGAGCGCAGCGGCCTGTCCCCTGGGCTCGCCGGGCGTGCCCATGTGTGCATGTGCTCTGTGCACACTGGCTTGTAGGGCATCAGTAAGTGTGAACTGTCTCCTCCTTCTCTTGTCACACAGCTCCCTTCCCCGGGTCTCCCCCACATGTCCTGGGGCTCCCACCATTACAGAATAAAGGTACAGCCCCACAGGAGCCCCACTGCTGACTCCTGCCTGAGAGGTCACAGTCAGGTGGAAAGAAGACCTCCTCCAGCGGGGCGGGGTCCCTCCTCCAGTGGGGCGGGGCTGCTTAGTGTGGGCCACAAGCAGGAGCCCAGCTGGAGCCCAGGCTTTGGCTCCCTGGGCAGGTGCCCACTGGTGTCCCGTGGACTCCACTCGGGTGATATGTGGAGCTCTCCATGGAACTCTTAAGCCAGGCTAGAACAGCTGTCTGCCAAAGATACAAGAATATGCAAAGTCCCTCCTCTTAACCCCTCCTTCCCTAAGTCAGTGGCTTGAAAGCCGGGGATGTGGATTTAGTGTGGTTGCAGGGTCCCCTGGCTGCCTCACAGCCCCCGTGTGCTCCAGGGTTGTGAGCAGAGCAGGGAGATCAGGCGTGAGTGGATCTAGGAGGTCCTTGGGCGCAGGGGCGGGTGTGTGGGGGTGCGGGTGCACTGGTGTGCGGGTGCGCGGGGGCAGGTCTGGTCTGCCTACCTGTCTGTCTCTGTCTGGATGTTTGAGTTCCAAAAAGTGTGTGGTGTTTGTCCCTCCTCACCCTCTTCTAAGACTGTTGATTTTAAAACTTGATTGTGAATGAAGAGCTTCTATGAAAACCCCTCACCTTCCCATGTCCCAAAAAACAAGCCAACAAAAGTCCCTGGGCAGGTGGAGAAGGCTGTGGAGAAGACAGTGTAGCTGGGTCTCCGGTGAGGCGAGGCTTCTGTGTGACCCTTACGTCCTCTGTACACTTGGACCCTTGAGCCAAAGGCAGTCCCTGCCAGGTGCCCAAGCCACAGCTCTCAGGGGACTTTTGTCTGAGGACCTTCTTGGGGCTAGACAACTGCTGCCAGTCTGAGGACACTGCCACCGTAGAGCACATGCATGCCCAGCCATTCTTCCTGCTTCTGGCCTTGGAGCAGCGTGTCTCCAGATGCCCTCCTGGAGCCAGGAGAGGCTTCAGCCCTGCCTCACTGCCTTCCCCATCTGACCCCACTAGGTACCACAGTTGCTCAGTTTCCTGCTGTCACCGAGTGTCCTTGCTCTCCTCTGTGCCCCCTCCTGCTTGTAGCAGCCTCCCTTGGCAAATGTAACGGCTCAGGTACCCTGGCTTCCTTCCCAGAAACAAGCCTCGTCTGTGCATCCAGGAGAGTCAGGTCCTTCAGCAGGCCAGAGCTGGTCCAATCCTTGACCCGTTCTGCAGCCAGTAGAGCCTCCACACGTGAGCACTAGGCCGTCTTTTGGCAGAACCCCCATCTGGCAGCACATATTTCAGGAGGATTTGGGGAGGTAGGTGGGTGCAGGCTTGGGAAGAATCTTGTGTGTGTGTAAGTGTGTGTGCGTGTGTGCACGCCTGTTTCTTTTTGCCATAGAGACAACTGAATTTGGGGCATTTTTCTACAACAGCAGCCTCTTCTCCCCCTGGATGGACGGTAACCGTAAGCCAGGTGCTTTCGCTGAGATAGCTGGTGGCCGGTGGGCAGTGGGCGTTCACGCAAAGACCCCCAAATGTAGCCTGAGCTCCAGCTGGAAAGGGTGAGAGGTCAGGCTAGCAGGTGCAGACTGAGTGCTCGCTCCACCTGCCCCTTACCCCTTGTTCCCTTGGGTGAATGTGGGGCGGCCTGCTGTCCCTCCCACCTGGACAGTGATGGCTGGCTGTCTGGTGGGGCCTCGTGGGGCCTAGGAGATGAAGATGAGGTTTTCCTTACCATGTAAATGAATATTTGTATGATTAAATTAACACAAAAAAAACCTCCTTTCTCGTGTGTGTGTGAGTTCTGTTGTATCCTTGAGCTAGCTGCCTGTTGTCCTGAATCACCCCACAGTGGCTCCAGTAGAGGTGGGAGAACTGTAACCCTAAGATGCATGTTTTGGAAAGTATATTAGTCTATGTAGGATAGCCATGACAGTGTCCAGCAAGGGAGGAAAGATTTACTCTGGTGGCTGAGGAGCACTTGACACGTGGGCAGAGGTGCTCTGTGTCTGGTGGTCAGTGACAGTGGAAGGTGGAAACGGCTCACATGCTGGCTGACCAAGAAGCAGACCAGGGCAGAGCTGTCACTTTCAAAGGCTCCTGGCTGGTGAGATGTTTCAGCCAACTTGACCCCTAAGGATCCCACAACCTCCCAAAATAGTATCATGGCCAGGGCACACCAGACTCAAGCTCTTGGTGGGGAGACTTGGGGTACACTGGTATCCAGTGGTACCCAGTGATCCAAAAGTAAACTGCCTCCACACGGCCTGTGTGTCATCACGTACCACACCTCTGTTGATCACTGCCATCCCAGCGCGGAAGAAATGGCAGCCAAGACTGTGTTGACCATCCATGGCACTGTTTGGCCCTTACTGTGTGTCCCGCACCGCCGAGGGACGGTGCTAGAAGGCAGAGCACCTCGGCCTTCTGTCCTCTTGGGAAACAGACAAGCCAGAGCCAGGTAGCGTGTTCCTATCCCACCGGGCTACTGGCTTCCTATACATCTTACTTGATAACCTTGGTGCCTGGATATCTTTCCTGGGTGCTCCTCACTGCTTACAGACTGTACAGATTTCTGGGATGGACTGGAAACTCAAGAGCTAGGAACACACTGCAGGCAGCAAGCAGATGAACTAGCCATCAGCTCCCCATGGGATCCTGTGTGCTCGGGGCTCACAGAGGTTTAAGAGCACTAGGGCAGTCTGAAAGGGAGCCTCAGAATCTAGAGCTGGAGTCTGGCATGGCCTGGTGGTCCATACCTAGAACCCCATTACTTCAGAAGTAGAAGCTGGAGGATGAGGGGTTCTAGATCATTCTTAGCTATGTGAGACTCTTATCTCAAAGTTCCCCCCCCCCCCCATCATTGCCTGTGCTGTAGAAAGCACACTCGGGAAGGCACTTCCCGTGTCTCATAGCTCTGGATGAGGCCAGCAAGGACCCCAGGTCCCTGGACTGGGGCCTCCCAGGCCTCTTCGGTATTTCCACTAACCAAAGAGCTGTAGACCATGCATGGGGCTTCGTAATATCCCCATAGGCAGCCCCAGGAACCTCTAGACACAGACTTGTCGGAAAGCGCTGATTCTCTGTGCCAAGAGCTGATGCAATCCTCCCCAGGAAGCACCAGGGACCCCAAGTGTCCTCACCCATGACAGTGCACCTGCACCCTGCTTCCTTCCAGGTGCCTACAGCTGTTTGCTCTCTGCAGGGGAGGAACCCTACCCTGTCACCTGGGTCGCTCCCCCCCCCCCCCCAACACCTCAGCTCCTGAACAGTTATTTGCTTGGCAGAATCTGTTTATCTTTGGGGCTGTAACCTGTCAAGAAGTCACTGGGCCCTGGAAGAAAAGAGCAAGTTCAGTGGTAGCTTCTGGCCTGGGCCATTCCCACGAGGGCTAGGTGACAGGGAGGGGGCTCTCAGCTGAGTCGGGGTGGGGGGAGGCAGCTACAGTGGTCAGGGACCCAGCCCTCTGGGTAAAACAAGCACTCCAGCCACCTCCCTGCCCAGCTCAGGTTGTACTTGAGCCTCCTTCTCTGTTCCTGAGAAAGTCCCACCCGACCTGGCCTCTGTGACCCATCTGTTTCCCAGATACCACCTGGAGTCCAGCCTCAACCAGCTGTCAGGAGAGCAAGCAATGAATGCTCTCAAGATGGCCCCAGGGCCACCAATGGTAAAGGGACAGACAAGACAGCTTAGAGATAGGACTGGGTGTAGGGGTGAGGTGTCAAGACACACCAACAGATCTCTGAGATGGACATGTTGCTTTAGCTACAAGGACCATGTGTTTTGTATCTCTGACCTCTTCTTAGTCCAGAGATGCAGAGATCCGGGGTACATGTGGGTGCCGAGGCCAGAGGGTGATAGCATGTGTCTTCCTTGTGTTCTTTACCTTATTTGGGGGGCCAGGGTCGGGGAAGCTGACCTTTGGTTAACTCAAATACAGGTAGCCTAGCTAGTCAGCCCTGGGGACCCACTTATATCTGCCTCGAGGTGCTGGGATTGCAGCCGCAGGACGCTAGGGATTCAGATTCAGCACCTTACCACCCAACTACCACCACCATCAGGCAGTCTTAGGGGACGGGTGAAACAGCAGTCCTTGCAGGGCTGTTGTCCTGTTGGATCAGGCAGGCACAGATGTCATGTGTCAAGAGGTGACCAGAGCTGAAGGGAGAGACAAGATTGTCAAGGATGGTTGGGGAAGCCTTGTGAATCTGCAGTGGTGACACTCCAGGCCTAGAGAAGAAGGTTTTCAGGAAGGTGGGCTCGGTGATGTGACTGGAATGCCCATTCAGGATGAGGCATGAGCAACTCAGAAAAGCCCTCAAGGATCCCCGCCCCTCCTTCAGATGCTGCCTTGAGAAAGAGCTGTGGGAAAGCTGGGCTCCCACGAAGATGAATCAGAGCTGGGTGTGGTGGCACATGCCTGCCATCCCAGCATTTGGGAGATGGAGGCAGGAGGATCAGGAGAGTTCAAGGCCAGTCTCAGTTACATGGTCGAAAAAGAAGAGAGGAAGAGAAGACAGAAGTGTCAGGCCATAGTTGGCAGAGATGATTCCTGAAGTTAGGGCCTGGTACGTGGGTCCCATAGGTGGATTGAGTGTGCAGTCCAGAGGGAGCTAGGGAATTTTAAGCCTTGGGACCAGCTGAGGTCATAGCAGGAGTGAGACGGGAGCTCCTCACGTGTCACAAGCTTGCTTGAAGCACTCTCTGCCACTGGTGGCAGCTGGCCTTGCCCCTGCCCTGGTCCCTGGTAGCCCTAGTGACTGTCATCTCGGCAGGTTGGACAGTGGACGAGGGTGTTACTGTCCAGCCCAGAGATGCTCCTCTCTTAGGGACTGTCAGGTCTCAGTTCCTAAGGACCTTTTCCCCAGGGACACCCAGGCCATCTGACAGATGACAATGCTGTGTGTGACTTGGGGCATGATGAGAGAGGCCCACGGGGCCATCCTCATCTGTACCAATGATCAAAATACCCATCCTCCCTGTCCCAGTAGACTTGTCACTGTTCCTAGGGAGGAACAGGAGCTGAACAGTGAGGTGACCCTTATCACGGGGCAGCCCTACCAGGTGGAGGGGTAGGGGACAAAAGTGAGCTGTCCCTGAATTTGACCATCTCCCCTGGTACCAGGGAAGGCTGTTCGAGGCATGTGAGCCAGCCCTCCTCAGGAAAGACGGGCTGTCTGCTCTGACTGGGCCTTCCCAGAAAGCATGACCCAGAGACATTGCCTCTTCTCTCGGCTCCCAGGAAGCTGGAGTCTGAGCACTGCTGAGGGACTGGGGGTGAGGTCAGATGGTGACACTCACAGCCGTGTGTGTCTTAAGAATGAAAATGGCCAGCCTCATCACCAGGTACTTGGCTGGCATCCAATATGAGTGACCACTGTTCTATCATGGCAGTCTGGTAGCTGTGACCAGGTCCGGGTCCACAGGAGGAGAGACTGGAACACTGGGCATTTGAGAGCCTGCTTGGGGCACACATGCTCTCCGGCTCCCCTAGTCGACAGATCTCATTTCCAACAGACTCATGCACATGTCTTGGTTTAGTGTGGAGGGTAGGGAATGCCCAAAAGAGGCTTGGACATTCAGAAAGGAGGGCAGAGCATACAAGTGGGCATTGCGTGGGGGTTACAGTGACAAGGGACTTCCCAGTATAATGCCGACCTGTTCTCTTGGAAAAGACACTGCCCAGGCCGGCTCACATAACCAGCCCAGTTCAGACATCAGGCACCAGCAAAGGCTCCAGGGGCCCCAGGTTGAGAATGACAGACAAGAAACCTCGGCTTGGCAACTGGTTTGGCCGCTGTGCTTCACCACTTACGGGGGCGCTTATATACAAGGGCCAACTCGTCTGAATCCAGGTGTCCACAGGAACAGGATCAGAGCCGGGGCTAGGCCTGGAGGCCAGGCTCAGATGGGCACCAGGCGGCAGCCTGCCCCACCTGCCTCCCCTTGGCTCTGTCTGCCGTCTCCTACCTCTGATGGCTGAGCATACACCACCAGGGCCCTGAGCTGGGGATGAAGACTCGGGGCTGCAGAGCCTTCGGAAGAAGAGCTGGTAGGTTTGGAACAGTTGTTGCCACAGCTAATTTAGAAGGGAGTTCTGGCCGGGCAGTGGTGGTGCACGCCTTTAATCCCAGCACTCGGGAGGTAGAGGCAGGCGGATTTCTGAGTTCGAGGCCAGCCTGGTCTACAGAGTGAGTTCCAGGACAGCCAGGGCTACACAGAGAAACCCTGTCTTAAAAAAAACAAAAGAAAAAAAATAGGAGTTCTTTGTGATGAGCCCCTGTCTAGTCCTCCGTCTTTCCATTGGTCCTTCAAGGCTAGAAATACACACCCCTGATGGGGGCAAGGAGTAAGCGTCTGTGGGGACACATCTCATGAGTAGACACCCCCCCATACTCAGTGTATCATGAAGACGCACACAGAGCCAGCCTCTCTCCAGCACTGGGAGGGGGGCCCTAAACAAGCCTAAACATTCAAGGTTCCCCAAAGTCACTTGTCAGCGTAGACCCCTCCTGCCCAGACTCCCTCCCTAACACCAGAGCCACCCAGGAGTGCCAAGGCCCCCAGGGAAGAAGAATCAGCCGTTGGCAGTTGTTGCCTGACCGGGATCCCTCAGCCAAGCTGCAGGGTTTCAGTGCAGGAGTTGGCGGAGGTGATCAGAGTGGCGGTTGGGCCCTGAGGGGAGGCAGCCCCGGTTCTCAGGACTGGTTTGCATGGAGCAAAAGGAATTTGCATCTTTGAGAGGTTGCAACTGTTGGAAGCGACCCCTTGAGTAGGGGCACA